TGAGCATACTCAGACTTACTATGCCTTGCTGAGCTAACCATGCCTTGCCTCAGACAGCGCTTCCATGTTTACTATGATTTACTTAGTAAACATGCTAAGCCTTACGCCTTCCCGAGCTTATTATGCCTTGCCTCAGACAGCGCCTCATCTGTGTTTACCGTGGCTTGATCAGTAAACATACTAAGCCTTACTATGCCTTGCTTCAAACAGCACTTTCTCCCGCCAGTCCGACAAGTGCGCAAGCGCCGACAGAGGGCTTAGCGTGCGTGATGGAAAAAGCAAGTTTAGAGGGCAGGAGCTCGGGGTATCGACAGACTCCACGTTCGGTTTCTTTCTTTCTTGTTTCGTTTATCGGTTTTCGTTTATCGTCTGACGCCAGCCAACGACGGCGACGCCACTCAACGTGGGAAAGAGCGCTATCGTTGTCCCGAGTAGGGGCCGCTAATGTCGCAAAAGGGTACGCCACCCGGTAGTCACAATAATGTTGTTAACACGAATGGAACCAATCATCATTCGGAATGCGAATGGGGGGGGGGGGGGCGAATATGCGCAGTACGGAACAAGGACAAGAAAAGGGAACGACAACGCAGGCGCCCGTTCTATTTTCTAGTCCCTGTTCTGTACTGCACCCCACGTTTTGCATTCATAATAACCCGTTACCAAATAGCCCGAATCATATACTTTTCTAGAACAAATCATCTCCTGTCGTGCAATGCACATGTAATTAGGCAGGTGAAGGAGACCCATGTGACCTGCAGATGGAACTCTGCGCTGTAAAATAAAATGGCAGCATATCCACGGGGTGACTGATGCAGAGTTGGGCGAAGCATCCGTCCGTTCATTCGTTCTTGCTTCTGTCCGTCCATGCGTCCGTCTGTGTGACCATCCGTACATCCATCCGCCCGTTTGTGCGTGCGTCTGTTCGTGCGTCTGTTCGTGCGTCCACGCGTCCATCCTTGAGCCCGTCCCTGCGTTCGTCCATGCATCCGCCCCAGCGTCCGATCATGCGTCCATCTGTCCGTGCAGCCATCCATGCGTCCGTGCATGCATCTGTCTGTCCGTTCTTCCATGTAGTCGACACTCCAAGTACCACCATCTCGCATCTTTTCAACGTATATTCCGCGTATAGATGCACCGCTATCCAGCGGACATTCCAAGGACTAAACGAGAGGTGGCACACGCACACTTTCTTACGGCTTGCGCTTCGGGTCTACTTCCCACCTTTAACCACCTCGAGTTCATGGTATATACTAGTTCACTGTATTCATGGCACTGCGGCCCAACGCTCGCTAAACCTTTCTAAAACCAAGGAGGTTACGCCCAGCGAGCATAACCTAGCAACCCTTTCTTGTCAGATAGTGCTCAATGTACATGCCAATGGCTGCTAATTGGGAATGAGAGACAGGAGAATTTGGCTTTTAGTTAACGCGCACGCTGCGAATTTTTTATTGTTCAACAACGCACAGGAGAAATATCCCACCAGCACCACTTTGCAGGTCAAAGCGTAAGACCGGTTACGCACTACGACTACGACGAGGGACGATCAGGTGCCGCTTTAAGGAGCTTCGCCCCTAAAACAAACAATATAGCAAGCTGGGACAAGTGACAAAATAATTTGTTCATGTGCGACTCGCTTGCTAGAGTTTACATTGTAATGAAGCGTACACACGTACACATTTCTGGCTCTTCCCACTCTATGGCTCATTCAATGAACTCTACGAGTAAAGCTCAAAGAGTTTGACTAGGAGTTAAACCACCTGAGCCTCGAGTTTTCGTTGGCCGTAAACCTACGAGGTCGCGGTTTAGGGTACCCGAAATTGACGGCACAGGCTATAGCTTCTCTCGTGACTGTGGCACATCGGTCTTATCAACACGTGATGAGTATTCCGCAAGCATCTACCAGCCTAAGGATATTGGCTACGCGCTTTGCCTAAGCGGTGACGTAACGTGGCCAAGCTGTTCGAAGAGAGCGAGCCTCGCTTCGGGGAAAAAAAATGCAGGTTTACGACCTTATTTCATCTCGGAGAAGTTCAAGGGCACGACCGCACACAGCACACGGCCAGCGTCCAGTCGGATAGCAGGCGGGAGCTTAGTCTTTATGCTATCCAAGCTGTGTGGCTGGTCCTTTCTTGCTGTCCTGCTCACGTATACAATGCGGCGTGTGGACTCGAAAATGCCCGAAAAGCCGAGTGTGTGCAACGCGAAAAGACCGTGCTTTAAGAGGTCATTGAGTGCCATTCTGCACCAACGGCGCCCCGTCGCGGTGGTCTACTGGCTGAGGTACTCGGCTGCTGACCCGCAGGTCGTGGGTTCGAATCCCGGCTGCGGCGGCTGCATTTTCGATGGAGGCGGAAATGTTGTAGGCCCGTGTGTTGAGATGTTATCAATCATGTCCGTGTGTCTCAGGTTTGGGTGTGCGTTAAAGAACCCCAGGTGGTCAAAATTTCCGGAGCCCTCCATTACGGCGTCTCTCATAATCATACGGTGGTTTTGGGACGTCCAACCCCACATATATCAATCATCAATCAATTGAACCAACGGCACGAACTGCGGAAAACGAAACGGCAGCTGCGACGTAATTCATTTCACGTAAGTGATGCCGCAGTTATTTGTAGTCGATAATCAAGAGCAGTTATGCCAAAGCGTGTGGACAAACACTGAGAAATCTATCCGGGCGTAGCATTGACCTCCGAATTGTAGAAAAATTTGGATTTTCGTTCGAACCACTTCTGAAAGCAGGTTAGCTGAGGGTGAACCCTCCCACACTTTTTTTTCTCCTGTACTCCTAATTTACTCTTAGGACGAATGTTGGCACTGTAGTAGAGCTTGTAGAGAGTGACGTCAATCGTCAGTGATCATTGTCTTGTATTTAAGGCACACTATGTTAGTTATTTACTTAATTCGCTTGTATTTTTTGGGTTCGTAAATTTTAGGTTAGGTAGTGCTTTATTGTATTAAAGTGTGTTTCCTGTGCCCCCACTGATTCCCGTCTCTCGTTCTCTCAATCATTTCCGACTTGCAAGAGCTCCCAAGATAACGTGACAGTTATGAATCGAGCTTCCTATAGACGGATGACCTCACTTTCCATGTTATATTTCGTTTTTTTTTTTCGGTTATTTTGTGCTTCCATTCACAGCAGCCTTCTTGCTTTCCTCGGCCGTAGTCTCGGCGAAGCGATCATCATTCGTTCATTCCTGAGGGCTGCCACGCAAAAGAAAATTTCTTTCGTTCGCAATATAAAAGCAAGGCATTGGCAGAAAGTTAACTGAACACACCTCAAAGAAAACAAGGATAGCCATATAAATTTGCGGCGCGCTTTTGAAGAATGTTCAAACCTCTTCTGACGGCGATAAGAATTTGCGCGAGAGGGCAGCCAGCACGTGGGAACGACTCTGTTTCGGCGCGAAAGTTAGATACGCTAGTGCAAACTGCTGCTAGCGCCTTCCCTCCGCCATCTTTTTTCTCGTCTCTTTGTTCGGAAGCCATTAGGCTCCTCGCCACTTTCCGGGGCACGGAAATGACAAAGGAGGGACGAACCATGAAAGCGTCACCGGCAGAGAGGCGCCAGTGGCGCCGCACTCCGGGCCACAACGATGCGAGAACAAAAAAATGATGAAAGGCACCGAACTTTCTTTTGACAGGTCTTAAGTGGTGCCGTAGCACAGTTTTAAGCCGCTTCCTGCATGGCCAAGCTATTCGGCTAATTCGTTCCTTCCCGCGGATATAATGAACAACCATAAAGCTTTGTCAGGAGTCTGTGCTTTATGAAAGGAACTCTTGTCAGTAAGCCTTGACCAACAAAAGAAAAAGAAAAAAAACAAGGACATTAAATAATTCCATGGCAAACAGAAGACGGGAGTAGGCAGGCTTCCAAGCTTAGCAGAGTGTCCATAAATTAATTTTTCATTCACATCCTAAATGTCCGATAAATTGTTTTTTTTTTTTGAAGTATCTGCCCCAAAACTATTCGGTGCTGCCGCAGAAACAATCGCTGATACGCGGTCTTCTCACAAACTGATTCAAACGTAGATCTCCTAGGAGACAAGACAAGATTCTCATGCAGTGTACAAACACGCGTTGGGATCATGAACTTGCTATTAGAGAATGCTGTTCAAGTTAAGCCGTAAAGTTGTTGATCAGGGCCGACTAGTAAGATTAATTGTTTCAGTGGCGTTGTGCCGGATTTTGGTATGACGATGTTGAACTAATTGAAAGTAATCTCATCGTCCTGAATCACTAGCTTATGTCTCTGCAGGGTGCGGAAACGGACTCGCTGAGATAGGCCACATTTTTATTTAATCCAGGAAGTCTCTAGAAGTGACTTCGCCCTGAATTTCTGGCAGCTCTTGTAGATGGAGACGTCCTTTAACAGTCTGACTGCAGAAGTGATGCCTTTTGCTCGTATAACCTCCGAAAAGATACTACTTACTCTAGCCCAGCGTGCACAAGCCGTTCACATGTACATTTATTAATCCTGCCGAAAATTGAGGTCCGCCATCATGCTCCGAGAAGCAACGCTTATTACAAGACACGGTTGATGCCGCGCTATAGCTAGGCAATTCAAAGAAGGTGCAAAGAAAAATTGAAGGAGCTTTCAGCTTTGCCATCAAGAGTTCAACGCTACAGCTATGTCCGCACGCATACGCACAAACATACATGGCCATGCACATATGCGCATGGACACAGGCACACAAACTAGCATCTTCCCACTCACGAGCCGGCCTTCAATTTCCTGAATGGGGATGATAGTTGCTAGTCAACATCGCGAATCGGACAGACAGCGGTCATAACAGCGCTTCTGTAAAAGTAGAAGTACAACCACGCTCGTTTATTTCGGTTAAGACGGCAAAAGCTCTAGGCGTTTTGCAATGCGTGCAGACCTGTAACGAGTATCGAGTGGTAAGCCTCGATGTACATCAAGCGTCATCAGTTGGGACTGCGCGTACAGTTCACGTTTGGGGCCTACAGGTCACCTTTGGGCCTACAGGTCACCTTCAGGCCTACAGGTCACCTTCGGGCTTGCACACGCAAGCCTGCTTCTGAGAGTTTATGAAGGGCTCGCAGCCCAGGCTTGTGGTCAAGCTCATAAACAGGTGGGCCGTCGAGACGCACGAGTGCACGCCGGACACTACCTTGGTGTCGCAGATGCGCTTCATGCAAGCGTCGAAGGCCGCGTCGCACTGCGCCTTGTCCGAGAGGCACGTGTCGTAGCAGACGTCATGCTCGTTGCAGCAGGCCTCGAAGTCCGGGTGCGGCAGCGCCGATGCCGGAAGCCGAAACGCCTCGGTGCCGCAGCCGTTCGAAGAACTCTCGTGGAGGGCGCGCGGCGTGGGTTTCAGAGAGTGCGGGCAGCGGAACTCGCAGTTGACGTCACCGGTGACGCCGTGCTTGAGACCTCGAGCCATCGAAGAGGGACCCAAGACGAAGGCCAGCAGTAGAAGACTGGAGAGCAGCGTGGCGTGGAGGTTAGACATGGCGGCGTATAGCTCGTGACGCTGACTCGTTATTTCGAATGGCACGCCCACGCTCTGACGATGATGATGCTCTTGGTATGGCAGGTGTTGATTTTGGTGACGATGACGTTTGTTTGTTTGTTTTGTTTGTAGCCTCTGATCCATGGCTCATACCCACTCTGGGGGATTGGCCAAGAGAACATTTAGTCTCATATGGACGATAACTGCATTATTGCTTACAACGAAAAAAAAAAGGGGGCGGGGGGGAGAGTTGTATAGTGAAGACAGTATGTTAAAAAAAACCCGGGTCCAAAAGTAATTTTCAAATCTGGATAAATTTGTGACATACCAAATTAATCGGGTTTGGCAAAACCAGCTGTCTGGTCGGCTCCCAAAATCAAGCTATAGCTATTAGTGTCTGCTTTCTTGTTGATTCTTTTTTTCTCACTATCTAAATTTTTGGTTTCGTTGTTTTTTTAACATACCGTCTTCACTATACGATGATGTTTGCGATCACGCTTCTTCCTTCGTTTGTTTGCCGAACCAGCTAGTTTTGATGACCACGATGAAGATGGCGATGACAGCTGCTATATATCTTACCGCACAGTAATAGCTACATTATTAAAATTCTCGCATAATTATTTCATTGGCGGTGTTCTTTTATGGCAAAGTAAAGGTAGGTCGTCCTAATTTTTTTTCAATGTCTTATTACTCAGCTGCTTCACGCTGATCATTAAATTGCCCCACGTATGCCGAAAACAGGTACTGTCTTTTACTAAACGCAAAAACGTTTCTTCACGAGAGAGTTACTGCATACGAAACGATGTTTCGTAACTTCGCTTTATTTCAAGGTACCACTTGCGGCGGTATCATAAATACGGCTTATGAAGTGACTCTAGGGTTTTATGACTTTTTAGTGTTTATTTGAGAAATAGTTTGTTAAACTACTCGCCGGAGAAAATAATTAAAAAAATGTAATTACTTTAGGCAAAAGAACAATTTTCGCGTATTTTATATGGGCTGAAAACTATTCCCGCAATATTTTTCAATACAGCAGAAACGTCAAGTTTTCAAAACCCGTACATCGTTTTGTTAGATCGTCTGCAACACTTTTTTTAAGAATCTAGAACTGTTCCTTTCGTTGCATTGGAATTAATTTTTCAGCCTTTACTCGATGAAGGCGTTGGATTGCAGCTGAGCGAATCGAAATGTACCGTTTGTCATTATACTTTTAATATTTTAACTGACATAACTTATAATTTTATGTTATTGCTTTTTTTATATGCGCGGTTCATAGCTTTTCCGCCAGCATGAATGTGTGCCAAGGATACAAAGCGCTATTTTACTGCAGTTTATTCGACAGTCCTGATGCTCTTTTTGGTCGGCTCAGCTATTTATTCAATATGTTACACTTACAGTTTTGAGAACGAAGTACCGACACGCCCAGTGTCCAGTAAGCACGAAATACTCCAATGAAATAGCGAGGTCTGCTTAGTTTGTCTCTTAGGGCTTTGTTTCCATAGCATTTATACGGACACACAAGGAGCATTTTCACCGTTAGTGTGTTGACGTCAGTGTCACGTTTCGCATAATGTATACTGTTCAAATCGATAACATGCTGAGCGTATATACTTGGATTCGTCGGGAACCGTCACCCGCAGGTTATCTCGGCGGTGATAAGCAGACGGCTCATACCTTAATCTTTCCTCAACGGTGTATGCGTTAAAGCGATATGTAACATGGAGGTCACTACAAGCACTGCAGCGGCTGCGTTTCCTTGCGCCAACGTTTTGTCATCGAATAGTAAAAGAGGGAGGTGTTGGTCTTGCTTCGTATGACCCGTGAATTTGTTGCTATCTCATTTCTTCTTGTGCCCTTGTGGCAAAATTGACTCACCCCCGTATTCTAGAACTTCCCTTCACTCAACGCTTCACCTTCACTTGAGAAAGCCGATGGAAGCGCTCTCCCTAGGCACAGCAAGTCACTGCATATTAGCGATGATGTGGTGCGATTTTCGAGCAGCGCATCGTCATATTCCGCCGAGCGGTGGCGCAGTGCTCAACTCTGTCAAGTGAAGGGGGAAAGTCGAGTCGAGGAGCGTTTGTAAAATACGGGGGTCAGTCAAATTGCGGAGCTCTTTAGGGGCCCTGTCGTGTGCTGTGTGTGCTGTCGTCGCTATAGGCGTAACGCGGGGAAAATCACGTTAATATAGAAAAAAAAGACGACCCAATTCAGAAATAGGGAGAGGAAGAGCGAGCAAAAAAAAATAGGAATAAGCGCAGAAATAAAGAGCAATAAAGACAAAAAAAATACCAAGAATAAACGGAGAACTAGAAGAAGAATGAAAGAGAAAAGCGATGAGAAACGAAAAAGGTTGCCCCACTCCGCAATTCCCTCAGGCTTGGCGCCGCTAAGGCGAAGCTGTCTTACTTTTGGATATCGCCACGTCGCCTACATCCAAGTTCAGCGTTTGCATCAGGAGCGAGATGGCCGTCAGCCTGCAGCTGCCGACGCTGCTTCACGATGTTCGCAGAACAACGTGACTGCGCCTGTTCTCGCTTCCAATGCAACAACGAAGCAACAAAGATGCCGCAGCGGTCGCGGCGACCAGAGGCTCAACTTTCCTGGCGGCGGCGCTGTACATAGTGCGTCTCAACGTGCTTTATTGAATTATCGATCATGGCTTGTCGAGACGCTGCTAAACCACCGCAAGCTCGCGAGTCCTGCACCATATTACTTTGTGTATAGTCCACCATAGAGTACATAGCAACTGCAGTTTCAGCTTGGAAGAGTCCCTTATATTTTCGAAGATGGCTCGAAGGCGAAAGCCATCTCTTTTTTCCTTCCAGTCGGTGCACTGATCCTCAACCACCCCACTCCAAAAGTTTTCGACACCTTACGCGGTTTGTTTTGCACTGCCTCCGTGATTTTCTCGACCATAGGGTTTCCTAAAATTAACTAGAGGGGATTGTGGCGCTGCGATCGTTCAGCGACCATGGCAAAGGTACGGGTATAGTACACGGATTTGCTTAGTCTTCGTGTTGGCGGGCTTCGAACGCATTTGTGACTTCATTTATTGTTGTTTTCGTCTTGTTTCTAATAAAAGAACGGAACATTGTGAACTTCATCAGTCTATTTGAATTGGTTAGCCTAAAAAGTTGAGGTTGGGAAGTGTAACTGCTGAACATTTGCTGATAGCCGTTTCGTGAAAAAGCAGCTTCGAGTCCCGCGAAGTCAAGCAGAGCCAAAAGTACGTAGGTTAGACAAATTTGTGTACTACCCATCCTTCCTATGCTCGCTGAAGCGTCATGTGTTGCAGCTCGCGTAGACACTAGCGACAAAGTTCCCTCGAGGTTGTTTATAGGAAACTCTATGGTTCCGATCAAGCTACATGTGACTCCATGTGATGACCTAAACCTGACACGTCCCGCCATGAGACGTCATAGTGACGTCGGGATAAAGTCGAAAGTATTGGCGACTTGCAATTCAATATTATTCTCATTTGGTGATGTCATCTATTGATGATTTTTTGCGTCAATCGTGTTGGCATCGAGGGTTGATTTTCACTTTTTACAGGGAACACAAATAATACCCTCCTAACGATAACTTGTGGCACTGACACTTGTAGAGGTAATGTCACCAGCATAACGGAAAAGAATTAGGGTATAGTGGGTAAATAATTGCGACAAAAAATTGAAGAATAATGAATAATATTTTTAATTTCACTCTTTACTAATAAATGTCAACGCAGAAACTATCGTTTGGGTACATGGTTTGTGCTGCATAAAAATGACCCTGTTGCCACATGTTCGAAGGGGTGTTTAAAAAGAATGGCAGCATATCCACGGAGTGAATGATGGAGAGTGGGGCGAAGCATCCGTCCGTCCATTCGTTCTTGCTTCCTTTCGTCCATGCGTGCGTTTGTGTGGCCGCCCGTGCGTCCATCCGCCCGTCCGTGCGGGCGTCTGTTCGTGCAGCCGTCCCGGCGTTCGTCCATGCATCCGCTCCTGCGTCTGTCTATGCGTTCATCCGTCCGTGTAGCCATCCGTGCGTCCGTCCATGCATCTGTCTGTATGTCTGTTCGTCCACCTATTCAACACTCCAAGTACCACCATCTCACATCTTTTCATCATATATTCCTCATATAGAAGCACCGCCATCCAGCGGACAATATAAGGACTGAACGAGAGGAGGCACACGCACACTTTCTTATGGCTTGCGCTTCTAGTCAACTTCCTACTTTAACCACCTCGTGTTTATGGTATATACTAGTTCACTATATTCATGGCACTGTGGCCCAACGCTCGCTAAACCTTTCTAAAACCAAGGAGGTTACGCCCAGTGAGTATAACGTAGCAACCCTTTCGTATCAGATAGTGCTCAATGTACATGCCAATGGCTGCTAAGGGAGACAGGAGAATTCGGCTTTTAGGTAACGCACAAGCTGCGATTTTTTTATTGTTCAACAACGCACAGAATAAATCTCCCACCGGCACCACCTTGGAGGTCAAAATGTAAGACTGGTTACACACTGCTACTACGACTACGAGGGACGAACGGGTGCCGCTATAAGAAGCTTCGCCCCTAAAAAAAATGTTGCTTTGTGACGGGATGACTTTAAGCTCTCCCATAGTAGAGTACCAAGTGCTCTAAATTGTTAACCTATTTTTCTAAACACAAATGAACACGATATCTGATTTTGCCCCAACCTACGGGGCAAAACGAAACACAGCATGGGGCAGAGCAAGACAGCGTGAAAAAATTTCATTCCTTCAGATTTTGGGGTAGAAGCAACTTGAATTCACTCCACGGGCTCCCACATGGTCTTCATGGGCCCACTCCTTGCCCTACACGCAATGAATCGAGACAGAACCCGGCGCTGTGTTGCTCCGAAACTCCTAGCAGATCAATTACCCCCGTCTTTTTTGTGCTAGTGGTGTCTTTTTGATGAACGCCTGCACTTCATTAGATTATTCAACGATTGTAGGCTAGATGTGTTCCGAGGCATCTTATTCGCTTTT